GAAATTAACCCACGCACTTACTGCCATTTGATCTTCGACAAAGGCATTAAGTCTATTCACTGGGGTCGGGACTCCCTCTTCAGCAAAGGGTGCTGGGATAACTGGTTATCCATTTGCAGGAGATTGAAACTAGACCCACATCTCTCACCATTTACTAAAATCAACTCAAAATGGATTAAGGATTTAAATATACACCCTGAAACAATAAAACTTATTAAAGAAAATATAGGAGAAACCCTTCAGCAAATAGGGCTGGGCACAGACTTCATGAATATGACCCCAAAAGCACGGGCAACCAAAGGAAAAATAAACAAATGGGACTATATCAAACTAAAAAGCTTCTGCACAGCAAAAGAAACAATTAACAGAGCTAAAAGACAACCAACAGAGTGGGAGAAAATATTTCCAAAAATACACATCCGACAAGGACTAATATCCAGAATATATAAGGAACTCAAACAACTTTACAAGAAAAAAACAAGCAACCCAATCAAAAAATGGGCAAAAGAGCTAAGCAGGCATTTCTCTAAAGAAGATATACAAATGGCCAACAGTCATATGAACAAATAGGATAGATTCTAATAACAGACAAACTTCCGTGTCTAGAGTCAAAGCCCACATTTGATGGAGAGCAAGGTAATCTTGGTACACCCTTTTTCCCCTTACGAGTGAAAATAAATGGCACTGCAACCACAAAAAGTTCTAGGAAAAATTGTGCAAATCCACTTACTAAAAGTCAGTTCACAAAAAGGCTAAATTACCAAAAGACAAGTTTTCCAAATGGCCAATTAAACCTGTCAAATATATATATATATATATATATATTTTTTTTGGTGACCGGTAAGGGGATCGCAACCCTTGGCTTGGTGTCACCCGCACCGCGCTCAGCCAGTGAGTGCATCGGCCATCCCCATATAGGATCCGAACCCGCGGCCTCAGCGCTCCCAGCGCCGCACTCTCCCAAGTGAGCCACGGGGTCGGCCCAAAACCTGTCAAATATTAACTTAAACCAAATCTAGGTTCCTTTGTTGCAGTCATTCCACTGAAGCAAACTCCTTTTTGAGAACTGATTTTTGGACAAATGGTATGCTTATGTAGGCAGGAAGGCCTGAAAAACCTGTGCAAAATGTAAATGTTTAATCAAAATCACTAGGTTTGACTTTAATTTTTAAATGTTTGATCTGAGAGTTTAACACTAATATAATAATTAGCAGTACAGTAGTAATATTGCTGCTGCTTACATTGCAGACAGTGTTCTTTATGTATGTTCACACACTTAATCTTCATCACAACATATGAGTTAGGTATTAGTATTCATCCAATTTTACAGATGAAGAAATAGGCACAGAGAAGGTAAATAATTTCCTCCACTACTGTGTACCAGAACTGGGATTCATATGATGTTACCCAGGCTCAAGGAAACAGCTTCTTCAAATAGGACTTGTTACCTTGGTCTCATAAATGACATCTTGGATTCAGCAAAGAAGTTGCTACAATTAGGGGACAGGAGCATTCTGGTAGACTAACAAATTGGCGTTCTGATCCATAGGTCAGACCCAGGTGATTTTGGTGTCCTTCCTTTACCAAAGGTCTGATCATGTCTGAGTATACTGAGTAGCACTGGCTCTTCATTAATTCAGCAAAGAATGCCACCCTTTGAGAACTCTGGGCAATCAGCTACGTAGACTCCTGGTGGCATGTCCTCATTCCCTCATTACACTATGTTTTCTCCAATTCTAAATGCTAAGAAAATCCCCTAAGCATCTGAAATAAATGTATATTAAGAAGAGAGAAAGAAAAGAGAATTCAATGTGAACTTCAGTGTTATCAGTGTGCACTATATACGTATATACATATATACACACACATAGATAGATAACATAGATGTTTATTCCATACACTATATACAGTGTCTGTGATATCACAGTATTTTAGAGGACATTCTCAGACTTCCTAGACTCAGATCCTTACTCTGCCACTTATTAGATGTGAGACTTTTTTCTTCTTCCAAATTTTATTGTATTTTGTCAATATACAATGTGGCTGATTACTGTGGTCAATTACCGAAACCTCCCTCCTCCTCCCTCTCCCCCCTCCCTCCCAACAATGTCCTTTCTGTTCCCCTGTCATATCAACTTCAAGGAATTGCAATTGTTATGTCTTCTTCCATCCCCACCCCTGGGTTTTTCGTGTATTTATTTATTTATTTTTAGCTCCCACAAATAAGTGAGAATATGTGATATTTCTCCTTCTGTGCCTGACCTGTTTCACTTAATGTCATTCTCTCTAGGTCCATCCATGAAATTGAAAATGGCAGTATTTCATTCTTTTGTATAGCTGGGTAGTATTCCATTGTGTAGATGTACCACAATTTCCATATCCACTCATCCGATGATGGACATTTGGGCTGGTTCCAACTCTTAGCTATTGTAAAGAGTGCTGTGATGAACATTGGGGAACAGGTATACCTTCGACTTGATTTCCATTCCTCTGGGTATATTCCCAGCAGTGGGATAGCTGGATCATATGGTAGATCTATCTGCAATTGTTTGAGGAACCTCCATACCATTTTCCATAGAGGCTGCATGATTTTGCAGTCCCACCAGCAATGTATGAGAGTTCCTTTCTCTCCGCAACCTCACCAGCATTTATCATTCACAGTCTTTTGGATATTAGCCATCCTAACTGAGGTGAGATGGTATCTCAGTGTGGTTTTGATTTGCATTTCCTGGTGATGTTGAGCATTTTTTCATATGTCTGTTGGCCATTCGTATATCTTCCTTTGAGAAAGGTCTATTTAGCACCTTTGCCCATTTTTTAATTGGGTTGCTTGTTTTTTTCTTGGAAAGTTGTTTCAGTTCCTTGTATATTCTGGATATTAATCCTTTGTCAGATGTATATTTTACAAATATATTCGCCCACTCTGTTGGGTATC